GTGTTTGCACAGAATCATTTTCAGCACGGGACAGTAATCCTGTTAAAGAAACGACTATGACATGTAATTGGATGTGTGTGAAGATGTTGCACCTACTGCAACATAAATGCATGAATTATCCTGCAAAAAAATTTTTTTCGTTTGTTGAGGATTATTTTGTGGGTGATCTTGTCTACCTTGGCGCTGTCCACTGATGATGAAAGCGAGTCAGGAGGATGCTGGCTGCACCCAGGGGTGTCCCCGCCAGGCGATGCTGTGCTACAGCTGGACGAAGAGTCGAACTCAGTGCTGGAGTCTGGATGCATGTTCTCGTCTAAAATCACTGCATACAAATAGTAGAATAGTCTATCTAATCTAAGTAGAAAACGGACGCCTAAACGCCTTTCTATATTCCATTTGCCAGGTTCATAAATGGTAACTGTGCAGATAGTGGAGAGGCCCGCCTTTTATAGTGAGCTGGAATTTTATGAATGAAATCTGTGTGGTGAGACCGAACCATTTCACAGAGGGAGAGGTACAAGGGAAAAAAAACAAAGCAGATGTTTCTCCATTCAACAATTAAATCCGTCAAACGCCTGAACATCAATATTGGCAGAATTCTAATTTTAACTTGTTTTATTTACTAAAATATCCCAAAATAACGAGCATGTGTTAAGTGACACCCCCGCCTCCAAGAGGTGCCCATCGCCATGAATGAACTACGTCATTTCACGTATGCAGCATCTGCATCATATACATTATGTTCCCTTTATGTCCACATATGTTCACGAGGTGTATCTTAATGCTACTGGCGCACCCATGGCAACAGAAATGTTACTGCGGGAGAATTGATACGATGGAAATGCAACATATTGATAAACACTAAACATTTCACCTAAAACATGGTTAGCCTATATGTTCCCTTCTGATCGCTCACGTTTGCTGCAGTGCAATATTACAGAAGCTGCCACCAATTTATAATTTGGACCAATATTGTGAAAACCAGCATGATTTAATTAATGCACACAGCTTCCAGCACACCGGCTGATTATTTATGAGCCGCTAAATGAAGTGTCATCCATATATCACACTGCCTTTCACCTGTCTCTGCATATGAATAGAGCTCCAGCAACAGAATTGTCGTTGTAGTAAAGCAGCCAATCGCAGAGTGGACCGGTCGAGCCATATATGGCGTTTCCGGTGAACAGGGGCGCGCTGTGGCGCACAGAGAGCGCGCAGACGGACGTGTGGCTGTGTGTGGCCCACTCACTCACAGTCACAAAAGAAAAGTGAAACATGCGCTAAAAGACTCGTCCGTCACGCATTGTACCTGATAACAGCGTCATTATCTGCGCCTGAATGGCCGCACAGGCGCTACTTTTAGGACATGAAGAGGAGGGCAAACCCCTGCACTTGACCCACCTTTTAGTAGCCTACAAGAATAGGACGAATGCAGCTTTTGAAATGGAGAACGCATTCAACAGAAACGCATTTACAGATCATCTGCATACTAATGCGTTATTGAAGATAATTAGGCTAAAAATAGCTATAAAAGTATTACTAATTTAGAGGTTTGGTGGCTGATTTCCTCGTGATCATAGATGAGACACCACTTTTTATTCTTCCACGTTCACACACACACACACACTAATCTGTTGTGCTGATACATTGTATTGGCACCAATCATGTAAGCTTTATTCCCGCATATAGCCTAATGCATCCCCTATTTTTAAAGGGGGGGGGGTTTATATATGCTATATTTAGGTTTTCAGATGACCTCACTGATCCACTGGAGTGAAAGCGATAGATGGTGAATAGAGGGGCCCTCTCCCCGCTCAGAGGGGCTGCGCTCCCGGCTGCTTCCCGGCAGTCACAGCCCCCTCTGGGCTCGTTTACCGGCACATCATTAGGTGGTCGGCTTGAGCCCTTTCAGTCGCTGGCGGCTCAAGACCAGAGGAGTTCAAAGGTCGGACATAACTGCAGACACCCCTCACCACAGCTCAAAGACCTGTTTTCATAAAAGCAATTTGAGCGTGAATGTGCAAAGACCGGCGGAGTTTATTTTTAGACTCAGTGACATCAGCACTCAAAGTTCATGTAAATGAGGTAAATAGATCGTTTAAGTAAACTGTGCTGCTGTGAATCACACAATTGTCCATGAAACTTAGACTAAATGTCCCAGAGTTTTTTTTAAAAAGGATGCTATAGCCTACTTATTATTATATTATGTTATAAAATAAAATAGACATATTGTCAGGCAGTTTAGAGCGCTGGTGTAACGCATCTAAAATTACATTATACATCGCAAAATACTTTCCCCAAAGTGTCGGTTTAAATGATGTGAAGATTATCTTATCCATTAATTAATCCACCTCTGTGTTGTTGAAAATTGATTTAATATGGTTATTTTTGGATTATTGTTATGGTCATTAACTCAATTATTATAACCAACAAGTGGTCTAATTTAGGCTATAATAATCTTTATATTACGTCTATTTTTTTTATTTATTTTTTTTACCTCTAAAGAAAAAAACCTCTTTCAGAACAAGTAGTCAAAGTCAGCATTGCAGATTTGGAAGTTGCTGCTCTTGCCAACCAGTCAAACACAATACTCAGACAATACAAGGTAAAGGGGTTGTTTGGTGTCCTGTTTCATTCCGCTGCTCCGCAGACACCATGGAGGGAGCTCTGTCTGAGAGCCTCGACAATGACAGAGCTCTCACTCTGACACTGTTTCCTAGAACCAGAAATTCCGGTTAATGTAATGACGTGTTGTACTAGGGGCATCTCCACAGACGACGCCGAAGAGCCGGTTTTATTTTCTTGTGTTGAGTGATCCGTCGCTACAACACAAACGATCGTTGTTGCTATGCAAAACGAGGACGTCACTGACGCGAAGGGGTGGAGTGTTGCTATGCCAACCAGGAATGTTCAACAAAACACGAGCGCGGGAAACAAAACACAAGTCTTTTAACCTACATTGATGCACTTTGGCACAATAACACTATTATTAATACTTTATACATTTATTACTGGCATGTTAACGCTCATAACGCCTGTTTTATTTTTAACAGCAGCCCAGCCTTTAGCCTGTACACTGTTTAGATAACTGTTTAATACGGGGCTTTTCCCAAAAGACCCCTAGGGATGCAAATAAAAAGAGGAAAACTAAACACAACTATTGTGAATATAAGAATGACTATTGTGGGCAAAGTTTAAATCAACCAAAAAATAATAATTCCAGGAAAATGTTGCTGACACCACTAAAACTGGGTTGTGATCTGTGTGCTAGTTCAAGCCTATTATTAAAGGAATGAAAACTGTATTGGATAATCTTTAAATAGGATGTTTATTGTAATGAAAATATGTTGTAAAGCAACACAGTCAACAACAATTAATTTGAAGATAAAGTATGATTGTTGGCTCAGTGACAAACAGGGACTCCTGTAGCTCATTATGTAGGCTAAATGATGAAAGATTCCCACAACAACAGTAGAGGGAAACCTCCACAGTGTGACGTATTAGTGTGCATGTAGGCTTAGTTTAAGGCAAGGGAAGACCTTTATAATTAAGCCTGTACACCCCTAAGCAAACTGCTGCTGTGGAAAAGTACACATAATAAACCAGTTATTCGTTTGCTGTGCAACTAAACACACCCTACCACGGATTGCAGAAGGTACGACGGGTGCCTGAGGGCGTAATACACATGCGACTGCTTCTGCTCTGACATGAATTTATGGCTTTCATGACATACGTTTACACAGAGTTGTTGTTTTAGATAGCATGCAAATTGGGTACAGACGTTTGTCACTGCTAAAGCGAAGGTAGTTGTGTTTATACATCCGTCGGCCCCTGGAGAACCTTGCATGACAAACAGTGGCACAAGACATTTATTAGATTATTTGGAACATCTCTTTAGGCTGTAATGTATGTTTGCACCTACATTTGGTGGTGAAATATAAATTACATCCCTAATCCTTACATCTAGACCAAAGGGGGTCAGACTTTGTAGTCCACACTACAGTGTGCAGGCTAAAGCCTTAACCATAGGCACTTATTTTAGATATGAAAATCTGAGAGATAGCCTATTCAAATGTTTGAATCTTAGTTTTCTGTTTAAAACCATAGTTTATACTTTTTAGAATTTACATCTAAACTTTCAAATCTTTGTTTTAATGTTCTGATATGTGACAGTAATCTAGCCCTGCATTTCACTGCTCATGTTGTATGAGCATCACTTCATATCAACATCGACTCTCTGATGCAGAAACAATTCTAACACAACAGCACTACACCTGATTCACCCTGCAAGTTTCTCAAACCACAACTTGTTGAAGAGTAAATGTACTTTTGTTTTCCATAAAGAGTGTTAAAGCCTTGGTGAGTTATAAAAATGCATTAAAGGCTATCTTAGTGAGGGAGAGGCAAAAATCTGGACTGCTGGTAGTCCCATATGTTCATGAAACAAATAATATTTGAATGAACAATTTCAATGGACAGTGTTCAAAATACACCAGCAGTGTGTGTTTTGATGCGTTTGATTGATACAAATAGTTCAGAAGAGACAAACCTGCATGTTGAAATGTCCCTTTGATGTACTTTTGTGTGTATGATGTACTTTTGCTGACCATTATCCCAGTTGTTCAGTTTTCTCAACAGCCCTGTGTTTGTTGTCTTACATAACGTCATGTCGCTGTCGGCCAATCTCGATGGTGTGTTTCCCAGCAGGATCCGCCCCTTTACAGGATGCACCATATTTGGAAAATGACGTACTGGGGATCCCGTTTCTGGAATATTCCATTTATCGCGGGTGAGTTTAAAAGATCTTTTCTAAATGTTACTTTTTACATTTAAACATCAGCAATAAGCATTGTATGTTGAACTGTAACTGTACTTTAACGATGTACGAGCAATAGTCGGCATTATTGCTGCGTTGTTATGTCGGTGTTTGGGTGTTTTTCTCCTCCCTCTGTCGCCGACGTCATTCGGCTGGTCCTGCAGATATAAAAGGCCTGTGTCTGCTCAGAGTTGGCATTCAAACTTTCAGTAGCACACCAGCGACAAGAGAAAAGGAGATCGAGAGCGGAACTTTAGAGTTTCTCACAATCCCACTAAAAGGATTTCCTCATCTCAAGGGTTACATTAACCCCTCAGCAGAGTTTGCTTGGATCTTCCTTACTTTTTTTTGGAGTAACGATGATGTTTACCGCTTTCAACACGGAGTGCGACTCTTCCTCCCGCTGCAGCACCGCTTCCCCGTCCGGGGACAACCTGGGATACTACCCGTCACCAGCCGGGTCTTACTCCAGCATGGGATCACCCCAGTCTCAGGTATGTCCAGTCAAATATTACTACAATGTATGATATTTATATTTATGCAATGAAGAACTTGGGAAGATATTATTTTAGCATTCACTAAATCATTCTCATAAAGTTTTTAAATGATAAATATGGACTGACTTACAAATAGTAATAGCCTATGACCGGCGCTACACACAGCTCAAGGCAAGCTTTATTCAATCACCTGGAAACTCCTTAGAGGGGAGTGTAACGTCATACTTGACATCATATGGATATTTTTAAACCACCCAGCTTTTTATAGATCCCCTTCTTCATTCATAGACACCCTGTAATGCTGCACCCCCCCTTCATCCTGAAAGTATACCAAATGTACTGATGATCTCTTTTGCTTCATTACCCACAGGATTTCACTGACCTGACAGCATCAAGTGCCTCCTTCATCCCCACTGTCACAGCCATCTCGACAAGCCCAGATTTGCAGTGGATGGTCCAGCCTTTGATCTCCTCGGTGGCCCCTTCTCACAGAGCTCACCCCTACAGCTCCAGCCCCAGCCCCGCCTACTCCAGACCAGCCATGAGGTCTGAAGCCTCCAGGGCTCACAGCTCTACCAAGAGGGGCAGAGTTGAACAGGTAATTATTATTATATCTCAGTGTTACATAACAGGCAGCGACTTTGATGTTATACTGTGGTAATTATAAGAGCTGGTGGCTTAACTTTTTCTTTTATTATGTGCAGATAACACCCGAGGAAGAAGAGAAGAAAAAAATTCGCAGAGAGAGAAATAAGCAGGCAGCAGCAAAATGCCGCAACAGGAGGCGGGAGCTTACAGACACTCTGCAAGCTGTAAGTATGCCACAGATCTGCCATCATTCATTAAAATGAGTTTCCAGCCACAGCTAATAACACTGTTATCCAACAGCCATTTTAATGCCTCTTCCTCTCTTTCTCTCTCCCTCGCAGGAAACTGATCAGCTAGAGGATGAGAAGTCCAACTTGCAGAATGATATTGCTAATCTTCTGAAGGAGAAGGAAAGGCTTGAGTTCATTCTCGCTGCCCACCAACCCATCTGCAAAATCCCCTCAGAGCTGGACACAGACTTCTCAGTGGTCTCCATTACTCCTTCCCACCCCTGCCTCTCCACTAAGGTGTCCACCCAGTCACAGACCACCATCCCAGAGGCATCCATTATCACTTCCAGCCAGCCAACCTTCACCTCAACCTCCAACTCCATCTTCTCAAGCAGCTCCATCCCCTCCATCGCCACCATCTCCAGCAGCACGGTCAAAATGACAGACCTGGACGCCTCCGTCCTGGAGGAGTCTCTGGATCTGCTGACAAAGACGGAGATGGAGACGGCGCGGTCAGTGCCAGAGGTTGACCTGTCCAACTCACTCTACACAACTCAGGACTGGGAGGCCCTTCACGCCTCAGCCAATAACAATGACTTTGAGCCACTGTGCACGCCTGTGGTGACCTGCACACCAGCCTGCACCACCTTTACTTCTTCTTTCGTGTTTACCTTCCCAGAGGCGGAGACCTTCCCCACTTGTGGCGTCGCCCACAGGAGAGGAAGTAACAGCAACGACCAGTCCTCTGATTCCCTCAGCTCACCCACCCTGCTGGCCCTTTAAAGACGCCTCCAAAAACAATAATACTTCCTTTCAAGCACATTTTATTGATGTATGAGATAGATGTGCAGATCACAGGGCTATGGAATGGACAGGAAGCAAATTATTTCTGATTTTATTTGCCTTTATCTATACTTGCCTATTACACCAATGTAGCAAGTTAAAAAGCATGTTTTAACTAATACAACCTAGTCGTTTTATGAGTTCATATATGATTTTAATGGTGCTAGATAACAAAACTTATTGTAGTGTTGTGTTTTCAGAGCAATAGTTATTATTGACCCAGTTTGTTTTCTGGTTGATGGAACGTGAGAGTAATTGTGAACTTGTTTGTGAAATTTTAAAAACTGACGTACTTTGTCTTAACCATGGTCTGAGTGGTCTATCTTAGTCTGAAGTTTTCTGTGAAAACATTAGTGGTTTTAATTTATGAAATTTATTTTTTTACAGAGAGAGTAAAGATGAATGTTGTTTGTAAGACATGTAAATAAAACATAGTGATATTTCAATTCAAACATTTGTCTGGTTGAATCTGTGGCACTCTTGTATGCACACACATACAAGGATTTTAAAATGTATACCTAGCAGTGAGATATAATCGCAGCTCCAGTGGCATTCAACAGTCAATTAAAATAAAGTCTAAAATTAGCCTCCATAAGGGATAGCAGTATTTTTCCTGCACCTCCACTGGCTCTATTTATTGTTCCGTCTGTTGCCAAGGTTAACTATACGTCAGGACTCTTACGTCAGTGCGTTCTTTCCATTTTTTTACATTTGCAAGCATAGCGCGATGACGTTGCACTTCCGTGCCCAAACATAGAGTGCTTCGACGACTCGTTGCTGCTGCCTGTCTGCCTGCAGTGAGCAGACGGGCTTCTCGGTCAGACACCTTGTTTTTTTTCCCCCCTCTCCGCTAACACACAGACATCTCTAGAACTTGTCTCTGCATAGAAATTGGATTTGATTATTGGCGTGTCGATAGGGAATAGCGAAAAGAGGGGGGGTGCATTGCTTCCCTAATCGAGGTGGTGTGTGTTTCACATGCGCCTGTGTGCAAGAAAAGCGCTGCACACGTGTACGGTTATACAAGAGAAATCGCAAGAGGATCCGAAAGCAACATTTTAACCACGATCTACGTTGGTTTCAATTTATTCTGTTCTCTCGGAAGGTTTTGAATTCGCCAATATATCACCTCCCACAGTCAACAGACGCACGAGTGAGTTACAGCACAATGCAACAAACCCACAAAAAAAGGGGGGGGGTCCTCAGCAATTATTCATGTAGGCACAGACAGGAGTTTGGACTTCTTTAGCTATTCTATGTGCAAATGGACTGGGACGTGCAGGCAGCTGGACGGTGAAGTGTAAAGTGGCTGTCTGCAAAGTGGTGTTTTTATTCAGCCTGCTCCAATTCTTCCTTCTCACCAGACACATAAATCCACCTCTTCTGGAGGCACAGCTGGGCCAGAGTTAACACTTATGTGCCAACATCACATCAAAATGTCTTGAATGACAAGTAGGGTCTCACATAAATACCAAATTTAGAAGATGGTGATCTAGGAAATATATTCACTGATAGTCTTGCATATTATCTTTTTTCCATTGGTTGTTGTTGACAAATGAACAGCGGCAAACATATCTAGTGTAGGTTTTCTTTCCGTTCAAAGCCACACTAGAATAACTGACTGATGAGATTTGCGTGGTTTTCCTAGAAGCAGATAAGATTTAGTGTGAAAGCATTTACCTTTTAAATGACCTTTTGCTCTCTTTATATGTAGTTTTCATTAAAGTTAAGACATTTGATTGCTTTATTTAAAACCCATAGCTTCATGGCCCAGATACATGTAAGGCACTCTCAGGGCTGGGAGTTACATACATCTGTCTGGCTCTGTATAAAATAATGCAATCCTGTGTCTTCCAGCTTTTCCTAAACATAAAGTTGTTGTTCAGAAGGCCATTTTCTAAACATAAAGGCAGTAAATTCATCCGTAACACAATTGAATTTCAATGAAACTAGGTGATTCAAACTTTTTATTGTTACAGTTTGTCATCAAACTTTTCCTACCGCTCCCTTCTACTTGTCATTCTTTCACCTCGCTTGCTCATTTCACCCTTTATCAATATTTCACCATGTAAAGAATAATCGGAAGGCAGATTGCCTAATGGCTTTGCACAGGAAACGCGTGGTGGGTGTGTGTGCGTGAGGGACACACTGGGTGGAAGACTACCATCGCACAATGAACTTACTCTGACGTTTGAGCCCTTCTGTGGACACACCCTTTTATGCAACACGACGGCCAAGATATCAGCAGTTGTTACTCCTGTATTGTCACTTCCTGTATGGATACGGGCCTGCTCCTCCAATGGCAACCTGAAACAAATAAAAAGATCCAAATATTTGATATAGTTTAAAGAATAAAGGTTGCAGAAGTACAATGCAACTTCCTTGGTTTTGTTAAAATGCTTGGATTTTTTTCAAAGCTCTTCTTTTGTTAGCACTGTGCTATTGTATAACCGCTGTATTCTGAGTACCTATTTGTTTTCCTTTGCACTTAAGGAGACCCTCTTTTTCCTCAATAAAGCCTCTATGTGCAACCATGCAGCGCCTAATAACTCTGTCTATTAATACCTCTTTGCCAGCCCTAGGGAGATGGGGTAGCAGCAGAAATAGCAGGTGCCTATTGCTTCTTTTAACATCAGCATCAACAGCAGTAAAATTAGACCACTATGACGCCAACCTGCGTCGGTGCTGCAACCCAGGGGAGGAACCAGGCAGCGTACGCCTGTTAGAAAGAGAGGAGGAAAGTGAGAGCGAGGCGAAGGGGTGGAAGAGGAAAGGAGAAAATGATGAGTGTATGAGGATAGCAGGGAGGGAGACAGACAGAGATCCCTGCCTAGGTATAATTGTGAGCACAGTGATGATGAAAGAGCCGAGTTTGCCTCCGTGCCACGACGACAAGAGCTCAGTTTGGCTCGGATCCATATTCACAGAAATCAATCCCCTGATACCTTTCTTTTGTCGAGAGAGGATATGAAAGCCTTAAGAAAGCATGAATACTTCAGTGTCTTCCCCCTGTGGCAGAGTGTCTGTCTGAGTGACAGAGTGATAGTTACTCAGTAGTGAGCTTACAAAGACACCAAATTATACATTTACTGACAATCAAATGACACCTCTTTTTGACATATTTGTTTTACTGGCATGACTGTCAACACAGTGAGTGCATCTGACACAGTGAATGTATTCCATAATGTTAAGTTTCTATGACACAGTCTGCTCATCTGTGGGAGTGTAACATATCAAATTTAGATTTTTGAACTTGATTCTGAGCTCTTATTTGCGTATGTCTGTTTTTCCTCTGTGTTTTGTTTTTTTTTGTACTAGAGGTGAGATCAAGCAGAACTCAAAGAATGACAGCAATGAGTCGGAGGGTGTGTAGACACTTGCGTCAGCCTGCATGCTCATTTAAGGAAGTAATCCACTCTATAAAGTAGTACTTTCATACTGACAATGCTGAACCAGTGCCCAGAGGTGATAAAAAGGCTAGTGAATCAATAGTAAGATTAATGGAGTACTTTTCCAGGTAGTTTACAGACTACATTTCACCCCTAGACATAGTTAATCCACAATGAATATGGTCCAGAATGTACTTGTGGATTGAAAATTCCTGACAATGGTTACAAACAATGTGACATTCACATTTTTGTATAATTTAATGTAAAAATATAGATTAGACACAGGTATATAAATATAAAGTTTTGTAAAATTCATTTCTAGCCTAAAAGCTCCATAGCATGGAGGAGTGTGTGACATGCTATTCTTGGTGGTTATTTGACGCACTAAGCTACAATACTGGAGGGATTTCGCTATCCAATAATTACTGTTCACTTAGTGCCAGACTCCCCACACTGCAGCATGTCCTCGTCTCGTCTCGTGGGATCAGTAACAAGGATGTTTCCCTGGAAACTGGACAGCTCTATCATATGTAATTGGGTAATCCCTGAGCTGCTGACAGAAAAATAATAGCTTTTGGGATTTTCAAAATACACCAGCCAACACTGAGCATGATATGTCTGTTTTATAACCTGGATTTAACAATCGCATGGATGGATTATTATGCAACTGTGGTAATATTAAATACATTTTTGAGTGAAAATCTATAGAAATCAATAAGCTACATGAAAATAGATGATTTCTAATCTTATAACTGCAGTACCAATATCTTTCTATGGGAGCAAATATGTGCAAGGATAGAAGTACATTGGTCGTTCAGCTGCTGAAGGAGAGGAGGAGAATTTAAATGATATAAAATAGGGTCACACATTCATTCTCATTACAGAGACCAATTTGGACTTCATCACATGTGAAGTACCATAACAGACCTTTAGACTCTAAACTATAAAACAGCAACAACCAACAACAAAAACAAAAAACAGCCTAGCTCTGCAGTCGTCACCCTGACTGGTATGTGTATGTAATCTCCATTTGAAAAATATGAAATGCCACAAACTAGTTTTTTTTTGTTTTTTTTTTATCTTGTAAGAGACATGAAAGTCTCTGATCTTTCTTCTGTTGTTTTCATTGCCTTGAGCTTTGATGTTACCACATGTTTTCCCACACACATTGTCCGTCTCAGGAATATGGCCTTTTTGACCCACTAGGGGGCCCCAGGTCATATCTGTACTGTAGTCTACGTAAGGGCCCCACCAGGATGTTCTCAAAACCAGAACCTTAGGAGTCTTGTGTTAGTAGTTAAGTTGTTTTGTAAAATGTACATAGAAATACGCCTGGTGTGAACACTGCTGCTACAAAACATGTCACTATATGTAACAAAGCAATCCAGGCTCAAAGGTCCACTGCATCTCACTGTATTCTTCAGGTAATTAAAGCCAGCTCAGGTGTCATCATGTGATCTAAGTGTGAAACTTCAGTTATGTGTTATATGCATATGTGGGAATGGGGATGGACTCCACTGGATGCTTCTGGTGGTTCGCTGACTAAGCAGTGTCTACATTCCTCCTTACTCACAACTTTGTGTAGGAGGGCCCACTGACCTAAACGAGTGGCCAAAGACCATCTCTCACTCTGATCTCTGAACAAAAGTGACATCATGTGACACCTGAACCAGCTCTTGCTGATGAAGACTGTGAAATGTGGTTGAAAGTTCTGCAGGTAAAGAAGCTTCCCCGCTCAGCTCTCATCACTACGACAATGCAGTACGTATCTAATGTTTATATTTTTCAAACATTGCCAGTTTAATCATTCCCAGACAACTAACCAGGCAAAATGGGTAACTGCCCAGACACCTAGAGGCCATAGGGTGACCAGATCCCACAAACCAGATATGCGACAAAGAGTATGTTTGTGTGGGACAATGTGGGACACATTACCAATGCTTTGATATGTCTATCTAAATATCTAAGTATCTAACTATCTCTGTTCTGCCCTTTAGCTCATAAGATCTTCAATTCAGTAGCACACAATAGACCATTCAGTTCACAGGTTAGGCATTAGCATG